CCTGCCAGTCAGAAAGTCCAGGAGCCAGTCACAGAGGGTGGGGAGCAGACCCAGTGTGGACAGTTTGTGGGTGAGTTTGTGGGGGACAACTGTGTTGAAGGCAGAGCTGTAGTCAATGAAGAGGATCCTGATGTAGGAGTCTCCATTTTCCATGTGAGAAAGGGAATAGTGGAGGGCAGCCGCGATAGCGTCTGAGGTAGCCCTGCTGGGCCGGTAGGCATACTGCAGGGGGTCCAGGGTGTCCGGTATACTGCTCTGGATGCGGGCTAGCATCACGCTCTCAAAATACTTCATGATAATTGGGGTGAGTGCCACTGGCCTGTAGTCATTCAGGCAGGTGACCAGGCTCTTCTTGGGAAGGGGGACGATGGTTGTGGTCTTAAAGCAGGAGGGAACGATGCTCTGGCTGAGGGAGAGATTGAAGATGGTGGTGAGAACATCAGCCAGCTCACTGACACATGCCCTGAAAGCCCTCCCAGGGATGTTGTCCGGTCCTGCTGCTTTGCAGGGGTTGATCTTCCTCAGGACTGTGCGTACCTGGCCTGGTGAGACAGTTAGTGGAGGGTTGGGTGGTGTTTGTGCGCCTCCTCTCTGTGCTGTGGCTGGAGGGCTCAAAGCGGGTGTAGAAGGGGTTGAGGTCATCCAGCAGGCTGTCGGTGGAGCTGATGATGCTGGTGGTGGTCCTGTAGTCTGTGATGTGCTGCAGGCCTTGCCACATTCGTCCGGAGTCAGCAGTAGAATAGAAGCCATTCAGCTTCTCTCTGTCCTGCCTCTTGGCCACTGTGATGGCTTTCCTCAGTCTGTACTTTGCAGCTTTGTACTCAGTACAAACAGTCCTGCAGGGTGCCTTCAGTCTCTGGGGTCCAGAGTTTAATTTGTCTGGTGACAGGGTTTTAACTAGCTTAGATGCTTTTACTTTGATTTACTGCTGGGTAGCCTGTGAATTTTACACCAAGGATCAATAAATCTTGATTATACTGTATTTTGTTTTATTAACCTCTTTCTGAAAAGTACTAGGTAAGTTATCAAATAAATGTAGTAAGTACAAAGTACAATATTTTTTTCTCTGAAATGTAGTGAAGTTGAAGTATGAAATGAAAATACTCAAGTACAGCACTTGAGTAAATGTACTTAGTTACTTTCCACCTCTGGCAAAACGTTTGGCAATTCAGAACTGGACAGGTGTTACCAAGTAATAACATCAATGATGACAGCATGACGTTCTTTATCCAGCTCCAGGGCCCTGATAATACTGCGTGGATGTGAGCTCTTACAGTTATGAGTTGCACTTTTGGCTGCTCTGCTTTGCCTCACCCTTTGAGAGCCTAAGCTAATGTTCCCCCTTCCATATAAAACGCACAAATGCCAACTTCAAGATTGAATTGATATGATGTTAAAGCTTGCAACATATTCAACACATAGACTATTTTAAGAATTTTCCTGCAATGTCAGTCACAATGTCTATTGTACCAAAGATCTACAGTATAAAGAGCATAAGCATAGACAGAGCAACTGTAAACTGTTTATTGTCAAGATCACTGGTGTCATGGTTTAACAAATCAATGTAATGAAGCACAAAACACAGCAGTGATAAACATTTCACTGCGCATTTCATCAACACCTACTCCTTATAGCCACAGCGAGCAACTCTGAGCTCTCCTCTAGCAGAAGTTGCTGCATGGATGGAAGAGCAACACAGCTGATAAATTGTTTTTAAACACAAGAGCGGGCTATACTGGGGCAATTATCAAACTGTGTATGACATTTGAATGTGTAGAAATCCAGACAGAGCTGTGACCCTACCACTGATCGGTCACCCTGCAACGGTGGGTTCAAGTGAGATGCAGTCGTTTTCCTCTCCAAGGCACATTTGAGTCATGGCCACACCAACATGCTACTGTTAGGCTAGGACTTTCTTTTACACAGAAACAATCCTATGGCTCTGTACATATGTTGTGCTCACACCAAAGATGAATCATTTGATGCTCTTTGTAACACTGAGTAAAACTTCTGTACAAACATGGGGGTATTGTACAAAGTGGACAGAGGTATTTACTGATTTTTCACTGAGGAGGTTTCACACGCAAGGAAATCACATTTTTGTTTCTATCATTTCATCTCAGACTTTTAAAGCGATGCTTGGTACATTACAAAAGAAAGATTTCCCCTGATAAAGATGAAACGGTAAAGGTTGCTATTAAACTACAGCTCTACAGTAAAAAAGGAAAATAAAGGCACATGTACAGCGGGAAGTTCGTCTTCGTCAGTTCAGACTGAGAAGCTAGCAGCATTATGCAGGTGGTTGCTGATCACTCCTCCCTTCCTGGGACAGATGGCTTCTCACTGGTCTAATGGTCAGCTGTCGTGACTAGTTCGAACCACTGTCTGATTGCGTCACTCAGGGTCTCTGGCAAGGCGTTGACATCTCGCAGGATGATGTAGAAGGGAAAGGGGAACTCTTCCATGTAGGAGCGGATCTCTGGCAGCTCTCCTGGCCCTTTGAAGATGGGCACCTTGATGTCCAAGATGGAGTCCTGCAGCACAGCACCAGTGCTTAGTTACACTCTGTGTACACAGATTTTTAAAATTAAAGGGTCAAATTGGGCTTTGCTTACCCGTGAGTTGGGGTTGTCAAGTACCACAAAGATGACAAACACATTTGCGCTGCTTGCTGCATGCACAGCTGCTGTCACCCGCTCCTTTCCTTCCAGGAAAAGCCCCCTGCCGTCAGACACAATGAGCAGCAGCTGGGCCGTGTCTGTAGAGAAGAGCATGACATTAACTGGGGTCTCTGTGGACACCTGAAGGGAGCTGAACATACAGAAATATATTATCACCGAATAAAGTGACAGTTGATAAATAATACATTTGGTACCATATGCTTTGATTTCTGAATTAAACTGACAGTCGAGACACTGATGCATCTGAAACATCTGGCTTATGTTGTAAAAAACTGTGTTTACACTCAGTAAAGTAAGAAATCAAAAAGCAAAGTGATGTTGCTGCTTAAACTCTGGGACTGTACTTGGCACAGTGCAAACCAAAGAAGCCCCACTATAATGAATGTACGGGTACCTAACCTCTCCAGTCACAACGCATGCACCCATTCTCAAACCAGATGTGTATATTCTACAAAAGTCCTCATTAAAAAGATGGATAATCACTTTCCTGACCCCCCCCCAGCAAAATAAGCTCATAAGTACTGCAAGTCATACCTGAGTTTATTGATCCTGGAACCTGCTGTCGTGCTGCTAGAAACATTTTAGTTGAGGTCTCCAAGAACTACAGAGGACAGAGGTGAAGACAGACACATCACGTTTAACTGTGTGTATTGTGTGAAGCACCTTGAACTGGCTTTGTGGATGAAAATGTGCTATATGAAGTATTCTGTATGGTGGTTTAGAGCAGTGCTACACAAATAAATGAAATGATTATCTGTCAGTAACACACAGATCACAGAGAACAGCGGTGGATGAGCATTCCCACCTGTGCTATTCTGGTCTTCTTCTGCTGGAACTGACAGAGTCTGAGGATCCGAGCCCCTGACTCGTCGTTGAACTGCTGCTGGAAGGGGTGGAGCAGCTGCACCTGCTCGCCAAAACTGGATTCATAAGCAGACATTAGACATCAAATAACTGTATAGGCCGTGTAACATCACAAACCGTACATCTGACTGTGTCCACTTTCACTCTTGTCAGTTTGTTTCTTTTTATTTTGATGACCAGATGTTTGTCGCACAGTGCCACATTTCTTCATAACCTCATGTTTTCCCTGTGTTGCTGTTAATGCCATCGTATCACTTTGTATCTCTGTATCACCATTGTGCAAATACATGAATGTTCTTACCTGCACACAGACACCTGTCCTACCTCCAGCAGAGTGAGAGCGTTGATGATCACAGACAGGGATTCAAACGCCAGCTGCACCACACACAGGAGACAGTGGGCGGTTTTTTGTAAGACACTTCTTGGACTCTAGTTTGTATTTACCATATTCATCATGGTGCTTTGAGCATGATGCCTTCAGCAGAGTGAAAGGCCCTGCCCTGTCCTGTCCTCTAGCAGTACAACATTAACATGACTAGTAGCGTGAAGAACCAGTAATGACTTAGTTTCTCCAGTGATTCCACAGCTTTCTGAATGTGGACATATGAGGTTAGAGATCTGAGCTCTCTTACCTGTTTGGAGTGGTTGTCCACCATGCTGGAGGAGTCGTCCACAGCCAGACAGATGTGGTACTCTCTCTTGCTGGGCTTGGTCCTCCTCAGCCAGATCTTGTCTTTCCGGAACTGACTGGCAATGTAGGGGATCACCTTCCTCATGTTCAGACGCTTCCCTGTGCGGTAATCACCTCTGTGGAGCAGCGCAGCATCACAAACCATAAACCCAGCTACTGATCCATTCAACCTCTCCTGAGGTGACCTCTGATTAAATATACAGCCTCACCAGACACACAGTTAGACTTCCTCTCATTTCAAGCTTCATCATCACAAACAAAATCAAGACAAAACAATCACTAGGTCTCAGCAATTCCCTAAATCTTTACACAGCAGCTGTTGCGGTGTTGGTACTAACTTGAGTTTGGCGGCCTGTGTGGGCTCCAGGATCAGGCGGAGCTGCTCACACAGCTGCTGGGAGAGCGCCAAGGTCAGAATCTGATACTGATGCCACATGGAAGCTGCTGCATTCTCCTGCAACACACACAACAACACGTTAGTCACAAGTTAGAACCTTGGCGTCATAGCTTCATACCAACAGTAACACTGATGCCCCTTCCCAGACAGTTTTATGACTGTCACATGAAAGTCAGGGTGACTAATGAGCCAATGTGCCCCAGTGACTCTCAAGGGCTGTGTCCAAACCTGGTTCATGTCCTTGCCATGTTTATAGTTAGTTTACTTAACTGCAAGATTCCACTGAAGGCATTAATTAATGCTAAAAGTCTGTTTGTATGTCTCATGTTCTAACAGAACCATTACAACTCACTATTCCTGTCTGTCTGGAAACAGTCAGTCTCACCTCCTCCTGAGTTCCTGGAGCCAGTCTGTGCCAGGCTTCCAGCTGCAGCTCCATCTCCCTCCTGAGCTCCTCTGGGTCTTGTTCAGCCTTCTGCACAAACACACACATGGCTTTAAAGTAGAACTTTGGTAACTAATATATTTAAGTGTTTTCTTACTGTTTCCACAAAGTAATAGTAAGAGCAACAGAAGACCAAAGAAAGTTTGTGTAAGACAAGTAGAAAGAAGAAAGTGTTGGTCTCTGATATAATGGGTGTTGACCTGCACGGTGTCCGACAGCAGCTCAGGAACAGCATGAACTGAGGATTCTGTGTTTCTCTCTGCTCGCTCCTCTTCTCTGGGATGTCGTGGATCCTTCCATCTCTCCTTGTCCTCTTCCTGCCTCTGCACCTCCATTTCTCCACTGTCTACACCTGCACAAGAACAAGAGGCGGGAGAATTCTGAGGCTGTGCAGGTTTCACTAAACCAAAACTACAAATGCTGAGTGGAAGGAGACATGTTCCCACCTTTCTGGGAGGCCTTCATTGAGTCCAGCTGCTGTGGCTTCAGGTCCTGAACCTCACTGACTTGAAGATCTTCCTCTTTGTCATCTGTATCCATAGCGACACCCTCATCGGTCTGATCTTCTTCCTGCTCTGGCTGAGCCCCCACTGCTTTCTGCTGCTCTGCACTAGCTACATCTGGAGACAGAAAGACCCGGATATACCACTTTCATTCATGCACTTAAAGACCTAATCTGAGGTTACATTGAGAAATATTAAATGTTGTCCTACAACAGCTGCTGTACAACTGAAATTCCCATTCCCTTGGTGAGTACTGGGGTCACTGACCGTAGGTCTGTGTGTCGTAGGCTGTCTCTCCCTGGCTGATGTGCTCGTACAGGTCTGACTCCTGCTGAGCGTCACTCTGCCTGTGGTCCTCGCTTCTGTCCTTGCTGCTCTCGACGGTGCGCAGCCGCTTGTTTACGCGTTCATTGTAGTCACCAGTCGATCGCTCGTTGTCTGCCTGACCAGGTTTTCTCTTGAAGCTCTGAAACAACAATGAAATCAATTAAAAAAAAAAAAAAAAAAACCTGTGCTGTGATGGACTGAAAGACAAAGGGATGTGTAAGTGGAGAGTCATCAGAGTGAGATCCCTCAGTGTGGGGAGTCCTACCTGAGTCTTGCTCTGAGTCTGTGCTTTTGAAGCCATTCTTGCTGTCAGCTTTGACTGGTGGCCCTCTGATTGGCTGGCATCAGCTGCCCCACTCCCGTGCTCCTGGCAAACCAATAAAATTACAGTATTGGACATTTAAATGTTTTGTTAGGGGGAAAACTCAAAGGCGGATGCTGAACTGATCCATTCTTGAACAGACAGCAGCAGTTCTCACAAAGACCCGAATTGGCAGTCACATCCAAATCTCAGGTCTGTTTGTCAAAGAACTGACTTTAAAATACAATGGATGGTTTATGAAGCACTGAGTGGTTCAGCACCAAAATGCATCATTTACATTTGTGACCTGGTGCTCACTCACATCTAACAGTATCTGATGCTCTTGACATGTCGGCTTACTGTCCCTGAGGCAAAACAGAAACCTGGAGAAACAGCATTCAGTTTTTATCCACCACATAACTGGAACCAATTCCCAGAACAGTGAGATCTGATCCTGAACCTAATCAGCAGCATACCCTGTACTTCCCTTAATCATCACCAAGCATAGCCTTCGGGTTGACATGGACCGTCCTGCTTTGTTTTTCCACTGTTTTGTCTCTGTTGGTCTCTGTTTAGAGGAGGGAGGGGCTGCACCCCTCTCACACACACATTCAGCTGTGTGTTTACACAAAGTACTTCTAATGTTACTGCTTGAGGTGTGAAGGCATGAACATTTAACCAGTCACTGGCAACGTCTCTGCACATGCATCCGCTCCCTCCCTGCGTTCCTGGTATTTGATGTTAGTACTACATCCCAAAGGGTGCTGCCAGAATGCACCTCCAAAGAGGAGGCCCCATAGTGGAAACAAAGGCAGAACCAGTGACAAGTGTAATCACGATGACATGTTTCAGTAGGTTCTTATAATGGCAAAACCCCTAAAGTGATTTTGAAAAGCAGTGTGAGAAAAAGTGTTTGTTGAAAGGTGAAGTTGACCTAAGAGTTGAACTAAACTTCGTCATGAGACATTTCTAAATCTAAACTCCCTGCTCTCAGCTCAGTACTTTGTAAAGCTACTGACAATACTGCAGAATACTGCACAATAACTACACAACAAACTCCTATACTGTAATGGATGACATCCTGTCACATATTAAAATCAGTTATTCTGATATTTGATATATTGTTCATATCACAGTCTTAAAGGTTTGGAGATTCTGACCATGAGTATTTTGATTATATCACGCAAATGTAACCACTAGCCTACCAGGGACGGCCTTAACCCTTATCCTAAGGGTTGTCTTAGTTCACTGTTTCCAGTGTAACCACTTGAGACTAGAGAGGTGCTGAATGAGCTGCTTGAGTGAAGGGGGGGCATACCTCTTTGACCTGGTCTCTCTCTGATGCCTCTCCTGCCAGCTCCACTGCTGTGTCACTCTGGATGTTCTCCTCTCCAGTCTGACCATCTGTGTTGCATTCCTTCCTCTCAGCTGACTCTGGCTGCTCCTCTTCCTCGCCCCCACCGTCCTCATCTTCCTCCTGTGAACGTGAGAAATCATCAGGGCGAAGGACAGAACACAGCTGTGTGTGGAGAACATCTGTGTTCATCACACAGTGCACTTTGTTGACGCACGCACCTTCGGTTTGTGTCCTTTGTCACTTGGAACAGAGAGCTCTTCATCTCTCCCTGCCTCCTGTCCTCTCTCCTCCTCTTCATCTTCATCTTTCTTAGCAGATTCCCCATCTCCCTTTGCCTTCTCTTCTTCTACATCATCCTCCTCTTCAGCCTTGGGCTCCTGATACTTCTCCTCTCCTGGCTGTTCAGCCTGGCCCTCCTGCATCTCTTCTACTTCCTGCTCCTCCTCTCCATCCTTGTCTGCATCCTCTTCCTCCAGGTCCATGGCTTTTTCACTGATGTCAAAAGGATTCCCCTCTGACGAAGGGGAGCAGAAAACAGACTTAAATGCACAAACACTTTGACTTGACTTGATTGCATCTCAGGCAGAATTTCATAGGAAGATGCTGTATTTTACAATTAGTGCTAAAGGAAACTACATGAAGGATTTCTAAATGTTGATACAGGTCACATTATATAATCATAAAATACCGAAGAAAATAATTGATTGTGATAATCAGTCCTTGCCACACAATAGTCCACAGTGTAAACTAGAGTTCAGAACAAGCTTTTGTACACACAACTGCTCTGTTGACATTCCACTTCATTCTCTTCACACCACTGTCTGCATGTTCCACTCTCCGACCCACTGTCCTGTCCTGAAATTTCAGGGGAACCTGTCCTAGTGGTCTCAGAAACCTGTCAACCAAGTACTTCTGCTGCACTGTAGAGTCCATGTTCATCAACTTAAAATGAATGAGAAGCTAGTTGCCAATGGCCACAAGCACTTCATGTATTCCAGAACAATGTCCGTTTCTCTCTAGACAGTAATGCCAGGGTTTACAAGCATTTATTTAGTGGCAGCCCAACATTTAGCAGCAGATCTCACCATTACCCTCGTCCTCTCCATCGTCTTCATCTTCGTCATCTTGGTCCAGGTTGAAATCCTCGGGTAGATCCATGGCCTCAGACTCGGGTCTCTTGTCCTGCTGACCGTGGTAGGGATCCACTTCACTCTCATCAAACTCCCTCTGAGAAACAGCAAGAGTATGGATCAGACACAGCAAAGCCATAAAAATAAGAGTTGATTGGAAATGATGGAAATACCTGACAGCAATCTGGGATGAAAAAAATAAAAATGATTTAATGACTGCTGCACTGCAGTGACTGTGTGCAGGGAGGAGTATCTATGAACCTGAGATCCTAATTAAAGTACCTCATCCCCTTGCTCATGGATCTCTTTCCCCTCATCATCGATATGCTGTTCTTTGTCTTGGTTTTTCTTGTCTTTGTTGGGCTCTGCAGCATCTAGGTTGTCATCTTTGGCAACCAGCTCAGATTCACCCTAACAGAACCAAGAGGAATATTTGTTGGGCAGGTTATCAATTCATGTAAGCTCTATGTTTTCTTTTTCCAAAATTCTTCTACATAACCTTTGTGGTAATGTTGTGTCCTGTACCTGGTCCATGCCCTGTCCAGATTCCTCTTCTTTGTCACTTCCTTCCTCATCCTCATCCTCATCATCTCCCCACATTCTCTCATCCAGAGTGTCTGTCTGGCCTTCGCCCAGGTTGCCCATCTTTTTGTCCAGTTCCTCTTCATTATCTTCCGATTCATTGTCTTCACCTGCAAATGAGTAATAGAGGAATGCTCCTATCAGTGGTGGAGAAGGTTTCTAGTCAAATTCATTCTTTATTTTAGGTTAATACTGTCTCAAAATATCTGACCAGCTTTATGATAAAAGATACAATATGAAGGACTGACAGAGCTGGAAGAAAACCCACTTCTCCACAAGTCTGACAAAGATCCAGTGTTATTTACAGAGATGTATTTATTGCTGTAACCAGTTCTCAACCCACACAGTACTGGGACCAGTTGGCCATGTCACTCTTGAACCAGTCACAGTGACTGGTCAGAATGTGCTAATGCCAATATGATGTCTGAGTGGTTGCTCAAAATGAGACTTAATACAATACTTCTTCATTCAGTGGTTATAGAGAAAGTTAGCTGAAAAGCTGTGATTTAAATTCATGTGACGAAATCAGACTCCAGACCAAAACATTAGCTGGTTTAGTGACTGTCTGTGATGAATTACAGACATTGCTAGTAACTAAATAACCTGCATCAGTTACTGCAACACAAAGTATGCTAGCTGTAGGTTAATTAACACACAATGCAGCTACAAAAGATGGTCTTTTTAATAAGATATCTGTAGTAGCTGTGATGGTGTTGAAGCATGTACCCTATATGAATCTATCAGGACAGTGACCTTTGACTTGCTTTTAGTGGTGCTAGCAAAAGGAAATGGAAGTCAAGAGACAAAACCAGAAATAGAACAATCAGAGAAATGAGCCATCTGTATTACCTGGTTCATTCTTATCCCCATCATGCATCTGGCCATCAAAGTCCTCTGACATTTCAATGGCATTGTCTTCTGCCTTGATATTCCCTTCACCTTGTTGTTCTTCCTTTTCCTGACCCTCCTGGAAGGTGTCCTCCACCTGGAAGAATATGGCAGGAATACCATTACCATTACTCTGTAGAGTCAGCAGTTTCAGGTAATCACTGAGTGGGTTATACGAAATTAGTTTGGATTTTTATGCCTGTAGAAGGGACAATCTGAGCATTAGTACTGTCACAAACAGGTTAGAAATTTCACAATGGCCATGGCTGTTGCTGGCCTTGCATTTGGCCATGAAGCCTTCCATATGTGCCAGAGTTACATAGTCATGGTGGCTGGTGTGCCCTCATCAGATGTGATCTTATGAAGTGTTTCAGATCTGATGAGTGATGTCTGAAAATGTTTGCTAAGTCGTGTTCACGTGGGTGTGTGTTTCATGGATGTATTAAGAAGAACGGAGCACTTACTGAAGCTGTTCAGTCAGGCTAACAGTGCTACATGTAAAGTAACGCCAAGTCAAGTCAAGTCTGTAAGGTGTCCACAAGTGTTACTGGGTTAGCAGACTAAGGCATGTAATGTTTGGCTTGATGTATAAATTGTCAGAAAACACATGAGACTGATAGCTGGGTCAGGTGTTAGGAGCTTAGTATGTTCAGAACAACAATTTTTCTAATAAAATATTCATAGTCATGTTTTCATTTTCAGTTAAAATTTTAAAGAGAAAAGGCAAAGGGGAGTAAAATCACTAACTAGTCCCAGGTGAGCACTCCGTTGCTCATCAGCTCTTCTATTTAACCCCGGGGGAGATGAGGGAGTCCCCAACGGTCCTTGTCCATATAGAGGAATTTACACCACAATACTTTTTCACGACAGAGAAGGAGGCAACACACCATGTCTATGGGCCTTAGTGCCCTCTGAAATGAATGAAATTAAAGGCCAAATGCCCTTCAAATTATGAAATGTATGGCCTGATCACAGATATTTTGAAAGTGTAGAGACAGTGTTTTGTTTTATTTCAACATGCTTACTACTGCCACTTACCAATGGAGTTCACTCAAAACTCATGGTTGTCAAAAAAACCTCAGATAATAAAGACTATGAGGTGCAGATTCAGAAAAAAGCAGGTCAGAGGGTGCCATGTGCTGGACAGCCTGTTTAGTGAGCTATATGAATAATATCTGACTCGATCCTGAGTTAAGACTATTTGTAAGGGGAAAAAAATCCATTCATCACCTGATCTTCACTTTCGATTTTCTCACTGATGTCTTTGGTGCCCTCGCCCTCTCCTATACCACCACCCTCGTAGCTGTGAAACTCTGTGGCGCCTTCTCCATCTCCACCAGTCATCAGCTCCTGAGGCAGACAGAAACTCTGAGGAGAAATAAAGAATTATTTGGTCATTGCTTTAAGTTGCATTTAAAAATGAAAAAATGCCTGTATCATTTTGTTTAAACTATTTTACAGTGAGACTGAGTAACTGTTGTGTGTGTGTTTACCTTCCTGGCGAGCTCAGTAAAGATGCTGGCCAGTACATACAGCAGTTTGCCTGTGCTCCTGTGTGCTCCCAGTGACACAGCCAGGTAGTAACGCACCAGGTCTGAGTAAATCCCCAGCAGAGGCTCTATGCGCACCAGCATCCTGCACATTCTGTTCACCTCCTAAACACAAACACACACACCCCATTAAAGCCATAGTACAAACAGATGGTGATGTGATCAGAAGACATTAAGAGATTAAGATCAGGAGGTCAAAAGCTTCAGGTATGGGAAAATGTTTGTCATACTCTCAGTCATTTTAAAGTCCTTTTATGCTAGAAGTACCAAATATTTTAGTCACGAGGGGGTGCAGCACACTAAATTCTGCTGACAGCTCAGTGACAGCACAGCTCTTCTATATACCTGGAGCTGTGATGGCTGACAGGCATCTCTGTGTGTCCTTGGGCATTTCAGCAGCCTCTCCAGCCTGGTGCCAACACTTCCCACACACAGAGCCTCCACCTCTGCTTCCAGCTCCTCCTCCAAGAGACGAGTCAGGTGACCAGGTTTCAGCAGGTCCTCCACAGACTCTTCATCCTCCTTCCCCTCCTCAGCACCCTCTGAAAAATCAAATAGCATCATGTAATTAAAAATAACCAATTCATTAATATTAGTTGAGTCCTATAAATACAGTACATGACAAAGTCAGCTTCTCAGGAAATGTTTCAGAACCCAGACTCCTTTGTTGAGGTACTTTTTCCTGCTTACAATCAAATATATCCTTAACAGAGTCCCTGTGTGGTGACATATTTTCTTAACTCTGTCAATCACACCTGTGGTGTGCTGTGGCAATCAAACAGTTAAGAATATAATTCACAGCTTTTTGTAAACAATGTAAAGTCCTGTATTTTCAGTCAGTAAATACCTGGAGCAGCAGAAAAATATTTTAGATTATTCTATTATACAGTATATTCTATAATTCTATTATATTATTATGCTATTCTACTATAGTACAGCATTGCATTTGCATCCTATAACATGTAATGTAAATAGAGCTCAGACAGCATGAATATACTTCATTAATTAGTTAAATCATTAAATGCTTTAAAACCTCTTACCATCCACCCTCATTCAAACCAATTATTGTGCACAAGCTCAAAAATAATTACATAAAATAAAAATGTTACTGTTCTTCAGCCCTTTTCCTTACGCCCTGGTCTCATTTGGTGGTCAAACTCTAAAATTTACAGCCAAACTGTTACAGAGGCACAAAATGACATAAAACAGTTTTTTTTGTCTCACCTAATTTTTTTATATCACATAAATGGGCATTTTAAGGCCTGTAGTATTAGACATTGAGTAATAAACACTGTGGAGTAACATACACACATGTGAACCACTTCTTTTCCAAAGTAGATGATAGTGCCATTAGTTATCTACATTGCTGTCTGTGTTTTTTCCCCAAACAAACATCAATTTTGGCCAAAATTATGTTATAGTACTTGAAATTTTTGTACAAATGAATATAAGAGTATATTACAGATTAAAAGTGTTTATTCTACCAAAATAATTTGTACTCTGTAGCCTCGAAAGACTGACCATAACTCATTAAAAAGCCCTTTAACAGGGATTTAAACCGAAAAAAGCACATTTTATAAAGGTGTGTGATACCACTATGAACTTGTCATTTCAATGATGCTTCACCCTGTCAATCATTTTCTGCATGACCCTCCCTATGGTGAATTGCACCGAAGAAACGATCAGATGTCTCTGCCAAGTCGGTCAGCTGACCACACTGTCTGACATGCCTATTGATCAGTCAGAGTGTAGGTACATTTTACATGTAGGTAAATGGGGTGTTTTCTGTATCAGTGAAACTTACCGAGCACGACAATATTGAGTTTTACCCAACTGCATTAGCAGAACAGGATAAAACTACCCACCCCTGACCCCACCAGAAAAAAAAATAAAGAAATAAAGACAGCTGATCGAGAAGTTGATGGGTTTTTGAAGTTTTGCTCTGTGGCAGTGCATTTGTTGGACTAATGCTTGAGTGGGTTCTGTTCATTGGAATCTTGTGATAAAAACTGTGTCCAGCTTTAAGCATTTGGACAGACATCTGTGCTTCAAATCACAACAAACGGTATAGAGAGTATGCTGAAGTCCTGTTGCCAATCCTGACAGTCTGGGGTCCTGCCAGTCAGAAAGTCCAGGAGCCAGTCACAGAGGGTGGGGTGCAGACCCAGTGTGGACAGTTTGCGGGTGAGTTTGTGGGGGACAACTGTGTTGAAGGCAGAGCTGTAGTCAATGAAGAGTATCCTGATATAGGAGTCTCCATTTTCTAGGTGAGAAAGGGAATAGTGGAGGGCAGCCGCGATGGCGTCTGAGGTGGCCCTGTTGGGCCGGTAGGCATACTGCAGGGGGTCCAGGGTGTCCAGTATACTGCTCTGAATGCAGGCTAGCATCACTCTCTCAAAACATTTCATAATGATTGGAGTGAGTGCCACTGGTCTGTAGTTGTTCAACTTTCCTCTCTCTTTCTAATAATTTACTGATTTGTTAGTTTCATCTATTTTTGTTTTTATGAATATGTGTATACATATGAAAGTCACTTTCGGCTTTTTCCCGTTTAGGGGTCACCACAGCGAATCGTCACACTGACGACTTGCATGTTGACATTTTGCACAAGTTTTATGCCGGATGCCCTTCCTGATGCAACCCCGACTCGAACCCAGGCCAGAATATATGAATACATATAAACAGTAAAATACAATATATACAGTGGGTACGGAAAGTATTCAGACCCCCTTAAATTTTTCACTCTGTTATATTGCAGCCATATGCTAAAATCATTTAAGTTCATTTTTTTCCTCATTAATGTACACACAGCACCCCATATTGACAGAAAAACACAGAATTTTTGACATTTTTGCAGATTTATTAAAAAAGAAAAACTGAAATATCACATGGTCATAAGTATTCAGACCCTTTGCTCAGTATTTAGTAGAAGCACCCCTTTGAGCTAATACAGCCATGAGTCTTTTTGGGAATGATGCAACAAGTTTTTCACACCTGCATTTGGGGATACTCTGCCATTCCTCCTTGCAGATCCTCTCCAGTGCTGTCAGGTTGGATGGTAAACGTTGGTCGTCATGTTTAACATGTCATTTTGCTTCAGTGGCATTTTGGTCTGTTTCACCCAGATAGATGAGTCGGTGTGAAAATGTGGGAAAGATGGTCAAAAATGTGATTTAATGTGCTTCTCTTAAAAGCAGTTGTAGGTTTGGTGGTTGAATAAAAATGGGAAGGAGAAAGCTGTGTGACCACACAAAGCAGTTTTGAGTTTTGAGATTCAGTAAATTTGCCACTTCCCCTTTTTTTAACTGTCTTCTTTTTTATGTGGTGTCAAATCTGTGAAAAAGAAAACATTTGTTTGTACATGACCCGGTTGTACTTTTCCTCAGATGCCTGGTAATATCTAACATCTTCAGAATGAATCTAAATGGTAAATCATAATAATGTGGTTTATGATGACATATGAGTGCACTTTTCAAAGTACTCTACATCAGGATATTTCATTCTGACTGACAAGATGTACTTAACATGTACTTACCAAACAAACAAAAACACTATCTTTATAATAATGACCCTCATCAGTCAAATTAAATATTCTTCATATTTTATATTAGAAAACCAGACAGGAAAATGTTGTTTTTACTGCGCCAACCAAACCAGTGCTTTCAGATGAAGACTTTTAAAGTGTAGGTGAAAACTAAAAATCGACAGTATGAATCTTTCATCACAGGAACTCACAGGAATTGCACATTAAATAGTTTATTATTGAAAGAAAAGTGGATGAATAAATCAATTATAAAACAAACACAAGTGAGAATACATGGAGGACTGCAGACTTAATCTAAACGATATCCGGGACTCACCGCTCAGCAGGGAGGGATTTCATTCATGAAGTGCTGGAGGAAGAAATGGGAGGATGTCTGACCTTCGCTCCCATACTTATGTCTGTGACAGGAGGGTGTCCCTGTGTTGTTGTCAGGCCGGTCCGTCAAGCAGTTACCACACTGAAAAAGGAAAGGTCCTGTGTAAGAACAGAAATCCTGAGTAAAGCCCCTTTCACAAGACATTTCACAAGCTCAACCAAGCCGGCAGAAAGTAACATAGAGGCACAGGGTTGATAAAGTCAGTGATAAAAGTGACTCTGGTGAACTCAACATGTCCTCACCAGTATCTTCAAGTTAAAACCTG